CTGTGAAAAAAACAAGAGTTCCCAAATGAAAGTCTAATTAATAGCTTCTTTACATGGACCAACAATAGGCAGGGGAATCCACCTTGGTTCGGGGAATCTTGTTGTGAATGGAACTTCTTTCCTCGAAGCCAGAGCAGCCAATGGGCAGGACCACTTAAAGACTAGTGAAGAGAAAAGTGATGTGAAGGGAACAGGGATGTGAAGGGAACGTTGCAACTCTGAGGTTGACTTCAGGAATACTTCCCATCCTGCATAACAGATCTTCACTTTACTCTCAGGACACCGGCAAGTTATTCTAGGGTTTCAGGGTTTCAGCTGCAATACTTGCTGATATAATATCAGACAAGTAGAAGAGTTTCTGCCCCTGGGAATGTCAGACTCATTACTGGATACCCTGAAACACCATCACCATCTCTCAGCCACATTTCTAAACTGGCTCACTTTTTTCAGCTGTCAGCTCTTGGAATATCCTTCAGGCTGGAAAACAGCTGAGGGTTATTTCAAGTAACCCTGAAAGATCAGGAGACTTGGATGGAAGAATCTCCAGAAAGGTAAAGGCAAGAAAATAAACCGTTGCTTGCTACAAAATTCAGGGTGACAGAAAGAAAAGAGATGGAGGATCCCTGGTAGTCTTCAAGGGGCTAAGCAAATTTAGGACATGGAAGAGGAAACGGTACAGCTCTTACTAGGGAAGAGTGATGATGTTCTCAGTCTCAATAAAGAAGACGAAACCCTGCTAATGATATGATATTTGCTTTCAATGTTGCTGCCATTGAAACCTGAGAAGCACTTGGACAGGTTTTGCCAGCATATTTACCAATCACTTTGCCCTTATATATTTGAACCTTCCCATCTATTTTACAATGTATTTGTATATCAAGAAAATTCATTTCATACAAAGAACTTCAGACACTTAAGCTCTTCTGAATTCCAGACAGTCTTGGAGTTATGTAAAAATATGTGTAGACAGCCTGGACATTTATAGAATGATGACAAAAAAAGAGGAGAGATTCTATCCAAATGAAAACTTTCAGTTGCTCATTTCTTGAAAAGTACTCTCAACAAAGAAATAACACATAGGGAGAAGTGTTGTTTGTTTTTAACACCTCAGTTGCATTACTATGATCTAAAACACTGGCGTGCTGTTTAAAAATGGATCAGTTCAAGGATAAATACCTTATTCTTCAGAGCAGGCCACAGTTACCGTGTTGGCAGTGAGCAAGCATGGGGAAAAAAAGTTAGTGAAGTTCATCACTCTTCTAAGTTAGTATGACTGATAAAAAGTAAAAACAATACCTGACAGTAATTGCAAGAGAAATCTTCTCTTATCATACCTTACTGATTTATAAAAAGCATAAGAGATTTATTTATTCATACCACTTCAAATCTTGGATGTATACACAGATGGCCCAATTTCCTTGCCTTTACTTTTTATAAGACCAAAATTAAAGGAAATAAAGGAAGAAAAAAAACCACCCAAGAACTAGAAGGCAGGTGTTATTTTCAGTGATTTCTAAGTCTAATAAGTGAAGTGGAAGTTTAATGCTTCCTTTCTAATCACATCTCGACAAAAATGCTAATGCTAAATGAGTGCTTTACCGGAGTTCAAATCCTTAGGCATCCAGCTCTGTCCCCCTTTTGGTAGCGCTGAATGAGGGTTTTTTTGGTTTTATGGGGTTTTTCTTTTTGGTCTGTGCTGGTTCCTTACAGAATTAATCTCCCTCCCTACCCACAATGGTAAAAGACCCCTTCTACTGAGATTATGTGGTCCTCTTACAAGGTAAATCCTACTATATCCATGTTATACCTATGCCCAGTTGTACTTTTCTCATTTTTTAAGTTTTAACAGCTTACATTTCTGCAGCAGCTCCTATCTGACAAAAGGCTACTCTGCTTTCTTGCAACCTGTTTCTGTTCCTCAACATCCCATTAATCTTCCAGCCACAGCCTTCCATAAAGCAGTCCTTCACACCCCCCCCGACAATTGTAGCTAAGTACAGTATGACCAGCAGTCTCCTGTGGAAAGTTCAATTACCACTAGAGAGCAGCAAGGGACCAGTTATCTACAAGTTCAAAAGAGAATCGAGCTCAGGAAAGAAAAATGAAAATGAAAAAAAAATAATTTGTCAGGTCTTTTTTTTTTTTTTTTAATGGAAATTACAATTTCCTTTGTGGAGAAGAATTATGCCTTGGGTTCTTTACAGTAGTAGTTCGTAAACATACTCTTCCAACTGAAAAAAACACTTTTATTTATAATCAGACATTAACAGAAAGACTTTTCCTCATAGCTTTATCTTCAGTCTTCTCTGCATTTTTAATAACTTCCACTGCATTTCTCAAATAAGCAGAGGAAAACAAAACCTAGTATTTTAGCACTGGGGTAGTGTGGAGGGGGGGGTGGAGAAGGGAACTCAGGAAACAATGAGAGAAAGTCTTAGGAGAAAAAACATATGGACATCTAGTTGATACAAGCTGGCTCTACACCTACTCTGTGTAGAAAACATAATTTTGAAATATGAGTTTTAAGAACTATCTTGTGACATTTCTCCCTAAGCTTTGAGGCTAAACAGAAGCAAGTGTGTACTCAAGCATACAAAGATCAACACAAAGACCTTGTGGCTCTCTGATAAATTTCCACTCTGAGATACTGTCAGTGTCATTTGTAAAGCTGTAAAGGAATAGAGGTGGAAGGCATTAGGGATATGGTATCTGTCAGAAAACTACGGTCAAGACCTTGACACAAAACTGCACACATCAGGTTTTTGCACCCTTTTGTTTTTGCATGCCTTTTTTATTCCCTCAGCTGCTACCAAAACACTATTACCTAAATGGCCACAGATTTCAAATCTAACATGAGTCAAGGGAACTTTTTGATGTAAGCTGTGAAAAATATGCTTAAAACCCAACTAAGCTGCGCTGAAGCGAAGTTTAATATACTAATGTTGTTCCTTTGACAAGTGGGAGGCCCTGCTCCCAGGAAGCTCGAAAGCAGCATTAGAATACCCTCAGCTGATGTCAGAACAGAAGTCAGTTTAACCAAAGGTACAGCTCAGCGATACGGTTTAGCTGACCAAACAAGCTTGCTTCTTCTGAAAGGGTCTCTCCCAGCTCTTCCCTGCCAGCCTTCAGATCCCTGCCCCCCCGGTTTCATCTCTGATATGTTCCATATGGTTTGAGGGACACCAAACTTAGCACAAGGGAGGGAGCCAGACAAGGTAGCTGGGAGGCAGGGAGAGGGGAACATGACTCCCAGCTATTTCTCCCTCCCACCACAGCCCTTAGGTTGGCTACTCTCTCTCGTCACACTGTATCACGGGATTCCTTTGGCAGCTAATATAGACAGTAAACAGCAACTCATTTAGTAAACAATAAGTCTCATTTAAAGTGATTTTCTGACAGAAATTTCTCAGACAATTTGGGAGAAGGACTTACATTTCCCGGGTTTAGCTGGGATTCGGATCACAGTGGGTTTCCGGGCTAAAGCTGGTTGAGCTGTCTGTTCCTTTGCAGGTTCACTTTTAGTGAGGAATTGAAATGGATCTAAAAGGAAAAAAAAAAAAACCAAACACCCCAACATATTTATTTGTTCAACACAAATCTCACTGGGTATTGATTTTATTATTAAGGACATTAATACATCACACCCAAGAAAGTTCTATAAAAAATTTATATATAAATCAGGATGATGGCAAATAGCGTACTCAGCTCTTTGTAAAGAATATGTCTTTTTGCACATCTGCATTCATAGTTGACTTAACATAAACATGTTCCAGATGCCTTCTGGGATTACATAAGCTACTGAACAAGACGAACCACATTGCTTGGTAATAGCGACCTGAAATCAGGATGGCTTTAGGGAAACATTTTCAAAGCAGTTGCTCTAATATGCAGGTATAGCTGTGAACACATTTGCTAAAAAGTTTTAATCAATAAAATCTTGCCAAAGCTAAACAGTAAGCACTGCAGCAGATAAAATGTCTACAGAAACAAAGCAAAGCAAAGCAAAGCATTTAAATATTTATGATTACAAAATGTCTTTGCTGTAGAACAACTAAGTCCCTGGAACACTCTGCATCATTTCACTGATTATAAACCTGGTGTCATGGGGGAGACTGGGTCAGACCAAGGACTGGGAGTCGTGCCTGAGCTCTGCCCCTGCCTGTACCACTCATTCCTTTACCAGCCTGTCCAATCATTCCATCGGGGAGACAGGAGCAATGTTTTCTATGCTTCATAAACTTAAGCACTGGCCTCTTATTAATAGGCATGGGAACATATGCGCATGTAGAAGGCAGCTGTAAAAATACTTGTACATAAATAAAATCCAAATCAATGGGTACTTTCTCAAGTACACCTTCATGTCAAAGAGCAATACTTCATTTATTACCTCTTCTCTGTTGTTAACAACTGTTACCTTTTTCTCTGACATTACCAAAACCTGTAGTAAAATGGCAATGCTTAACGGTATCATAAATGTGTAAAGTAGAAACTGGAAAAGCACTCCGGACAATAAATTCTCCATGACTCATATTCATAGCCCCAACAACTGAGTTTGATCTCCTCTGGTGGCCTTTTTAGATGCGTAGCTCAATGAGATGTTATTTATGGAGTGTCAGAGTCTCAGGGAGGAAGCACGCTGGGCATCTCTCTAAATTCTTCAGGACCTTTTATAAAAACAGACCCTTTCCCAGAACTACAGCCACACTTTCTGACAAAGTTGGAAGCCTTGTATTTGATAAAACTCTATCTTCAACACTTATAAAAAACAATATGAAAATTACATAATACAAAGTAATGATTTCTTACAGATAATTTTGGATAGTATAACACAGTGCAGTTTATCAAGACGCTAGAAATCTGTGTCTGGGAATACACATAAGATTTAAGAAAATCCAAAAACATGGTATTTATGAACAACCTCATTAAAAACCTTTTAGCATTTTAATTAAAAAAGCCTCGGCATTTTTAGAGAGGAGAAGAAGACCAAGTGCATCAAGCTCTGTATTTATTTATTTTTTCCAATCGAAAATTTCCTCAGAGAGAGAAAACACCGTGTAATATTGAGCTGCTGAGTTGCAGTGTAAGGGGCTGCCCTCCCGCACGCACGCAACTTGGTGGTCACAGCTCCCCCAGCCTCTGCCGCCGCTCCTCCTTGCCGGGTGCTCCTGCCCTCTGTCCGAGCCCCGGGTCCTCCCCAGCTCCCGCTGCCAGCGTGCGGCTGTAGCCACAGCAGGGACAACATGCTGCAGGGCCCGTGCGTGCTCACTCCTGCTCAGGTGTCCACCTCCCGCTAGCCCCTTGCTTAAGGCTCTCTTTGGAGGCGTATCCATCACGTACAGGCGTGCCATGGGGGTTTGTGCCATGTTCTCTCTCAAAGTCAAGACGTCTACCTACTTGCCTACAGGCTCCCCAGAAGTCTGCCTGGGTACCTTCGTGTCGCCTTTTAATCGTGAATCAAAGCACATCAATTCCTTCCGTCAGGCTGCTTGTACAACAGCTTTGAGCATACACTTCAGGTAGAATGGATCATGACAGGCCAACGATTTGTCTATAGCTAAAGGTATATAGGCTATAGTTAAAAATAAGCCCTGCTACCACCTAGACAGAAGATGGCTCCATCATGTTGTGCCCAAAGACACTTGCGCATCCAGAAACTCGGCACAGGCAACCCACAATGTTAAAAGGTAAGGGTAAAACTAACACCTTGTTTAAGTTATGGATTAGCACTAGTCACTAAAAGGTTTAGGTCTCTTCAGTGAAAGCTGCATCAGAGCAGGGATTTTTCTAGAGGACTTGAAAACACAGACCACAAGAGGGGTGCAAGCATTCTGGCAGTATGGTCATTACAAGAAACAAAAATCCCACTCTTAGAGCAAACCTGCAGTTACAATTTTCTTTTATTCCATTATACCTATGTCTGCTAGATACACTGCTAACATTTGAATTGCAACAAAAAAGATTTATCTAATCTTAACTCTTACGCTGGCATTCACAGTGACTTTAGTGCAGCTGAAAAAGAAAACTGACAGCAGAAATCTTTCTTCTTTCTTTCACTTTTCTGGCAACTTTATGCCAGATTTGAGAAGTGACCCTGGCGAGGCAGCAGGGCAGTGGGGCCTCAAAGCTGCACTGGCCCTTTGGGAAGCCGGAGACACAGGGCAAGGAGAGGAAAGGTGAGCAGGGCTAAGCCACGGGCTCCTTGGTACAGCAAGACCATAGGGAACATGCCGACACATGGAGCACCTCTCAAGGTAAGGTTCTGCAGAGGTTAAGGAAGTTCCGCATGAACAATAAGGAAACAATTTTCCAAAGCCTCCATCTCATAAAAATATAGACATCGTGAGAACAAGTGGAAACGCCCTAAACAGCCAAAATAATCACAGATCTGTAGTCTTGAAAATTTATGGCAGATTTAAAATCATACAAAATTACTGTTTGTCAGCTGTTAATCATCGCTATGTGTAGAAATGGTTTTCTAAACCATTCAACAGTTGGCAGAGGTCTCTAAATCAATAAATCTGAGAAGTATTTTTTAAGTCTGAGAAAAGCCATTTCTAAGGCTGAGAAATCCATTCGATGAACCTTAGTTTTCCACTCATTATCTTATGTTCTATTATACTGTTGTCACCTCATAATTAGTTCAAAACTCATTACCTTGTTTGTGTTATTGCATTCCCCAGTGTTGGGTTTGCAGCAGAAATTGGCTGAGTAAACGACCGTGCTGCTTTGTGCAATGGGACTGACAACATATCAAATTTTTATGTTGTTTAACAACAATTCAGCATCATTTGAGCATAATTCATGGAGGTGTGAAAACAGAATTGTTAATATAATCATTTAAAGCTTCTCAGTTCAAGGAAATTAATCTGCAAGGCACTTTTCATAACACATATGAACAGACTTCTGTAATTTTTTTTATTAAACTTTTACAATGATGCTTAAAGCCTGTGTCTTCCTTAGTCTCACTTTTCTACAGCTTCTTTTTCAAAGGTTTATGTGACAACATATATTACTGTACTTGTTGACAGGAAATACAAATGAAAATTGTATATTCAAATACACTCTATATCATCTCTTTCTTTTACCAGTTTAGGAAAGACAGCTTTTGTTTCCTCCACTTTCACTTATCATCCTTGTTTAAAATAAAAAATCAGGAGGTTACAGAACAAACACTAGCTTTTGCCCACATGAGCAGGACAGATGGATATCTTTCTGAAATATTTATTGGCAGTCTTTAAGTAAGTGGTAGTAAGATGGTAACAGATACCTCAGCAGCAATAAGTGGAATCTCCAGACAAATCAGATGTGGAAAGCTAAAAGCGCTGAACAGTAATATCTGCTGTGAAGATGCTCAGTCCTGCAAGAAGTACTCTCAGTACACACTAGAGCAACGTAGTACAAAAGGTGTTGATGCTGACATGACAACACTTGCCACCACACAAGTATGCAACTGTGTCTACTCTCAATGTTTAATTAAAAGAACAAAATCAGCTGTTACAGGCAAGGTTCGGTTCACACATTCTCTTCACAAAGAACAGTATTGTTATCAGAGTCTTCCAGGAACAGAGAGTAGAGCCAAATGTCATCAACAAATGGTTTTATTAAAACCTAGCCCCATGAAACCACTCTGGTGTTTGTGGAAGCATACTTAACCCACACTTGGGGGAAGATTTTCAACAACAGGTCCCTTCTAGTAATATAGCCGGAGATTCAATGGATACCTGACAGAAAACATCCCAAAGAGGAATGTGGCCTATGCTCAAGAAACACTGTGAAATGCTACAAACACAAGTCTAACGTTCACTCAGACATTCTAAATCTCAACCTATTTACAACTATAAATAGGCATATTAGACAGGTATCTTACCTAAATTCCAGCATCAGTGATCTCCCCAATTGCAGTTTTCCCCAATATTTTTCATCACCAAAACTAATAGTTCACTCTTCTTAGAAATGGTATTTCTGACCCAGAGAGAATAATACGGACTACACCACCTTTTTCAAAATGTGCAATTTGCAGCTCCCTCTGCACGGAAAATTGCTATGAACTGGTCATGACCATATCTTTTAATAGACTGGGAAATTCAAATAGAAAAAAGGAAAAAAAAAAAAAAAAAGACAGAGAGAACTGGATACAGGTTCTTTCAGGATGTAATCTGTGCATAACCTGAAAGTAAGCTTAGGTGAAACTCAGGCTTCTCAGCATTCTCCTAACATTAGGAGAGTAGATCATGTCACTCAAATAAAAGGAATACAGTATTCAGGAGTAGACTTAGTATGGCTTCAAACTTAAAGTTGGAGCAGAGACAAGCAAATCTGCTATCATAACATTCTACAATTTCTTTCTCTCCAGTTTACACAGAGGTTTTTCATGACTAGCCCCGTTACTTTGGTAGAGGCTCTGAACGGACTGTGTGGTCCTGCTTCATTCAAAGATTTACAGTTCATCAGGCCAAGGAGACTTACCTTATCTGATATGGCACATTTAGTCAAACAGGTACTTGAGCAGGCTGGTAAAAGTATCTTGTATATAAGAACCT